ATGTAACCTCTCGTCAAAGAGGCATTCATTACTGTGTGCACAGTAATTTATTTCTTTCAGTGAATGTTGCACAGCTTTATTGCTCTCTTGATTGTGACCTTGGGGCCGTCCACGGCCATTCAGCCACAGAGACCCTCTCTGTATCCCCCCGGACAGAGATCCTATTCCTGTCCTTGACCCACACAGCCCACCATTCATTTTTAATTAGGGGTGGAGGTGGAAGGGAGGGAGGGTGGAGCACACTGTAGCTGCTGCTGCTGCAGGCCAGCTCCGACCAAACAGGAAGACCTTTTGGGCCTGATAACCTTGGCCTCACTGTTCCCTTGCCTTGCAGCCAATAACACATAAACAACAACAGTCTGTGTTTTATAGCCAGAACAGAGCAAGAGTTTGTTTTGGATTTGTCGTTTGTGTGTTTGTTTTTTACCCAATAATTCTGTTATTTTGCATCAGCGAGGACAAAAAAATGAAAAAAAGAGAGAGACATTCACTTCATTCAAATGCGGCAAGTCTGGACATGTGTGGATGTGTGAGCTCAGTGTATTTGCACAGTGAATTTATTTTTCCCTCCATAACTGACGGAGGTAATATCAAGGCCATGATGAAGGCAGAGACCTCGTTCTCAACAGACAGCAAGGGAAAAGCATTGATTTATTTATACTTTGTGGCATTTAAGTCACTTGCATGGATATTGAATGGTTTTCTGGGTGCATCTGCACAGTAGATGGATGTAGGTTCTTTTTAATTCTTCTTCTTTTTTTAATTAAAATGCCCAGAACTTTTTAATAAGCCTGCATTCAACATTAATTCAAGACTGCCAGCCATTGTTCTTTAACTTTGAAGCATTCAGCCCTTGATTAGCAATTATGTCTGGTTGGCTGGCATCACTGCAGCCAGAAGAAAAAAGTGTGTGTGTGTGTGAGACCCTGGACAGTCCCTGTTTATCTTTCATTCATTCAGTAGATTTTCACTTGGCTTGCTTTTTTTAAATGATCTTTTTTAAAGATTGTTTTTCTGGCATTTTTCCCTTTATTAGTCAGGACAGAGAGAGAATGAGACAGGAAAGGGCTTCTCCCCGGAATGGGGAGAGACCTTGCAGCAAACTGTCGTGAGCAGGAATCGAACTCACGAACGCCGCACCGGGAAACTATAGCCCCTGTTCATGGGTCGACTGCTCAACCAGATGAGCTATAAGGGCACCCTTAAAATGATCTTTTTATAGAAAAACACGCTTGATGGAATAAATGGCTGAAATACTTGAAGACTTTGGTTCAAAAAAAAGATTTAACCAAATATCACAAGGCTGCCTTAATGATGTGAGTGTCTCTGGGCAGTAGAGTGATTCCCTGCAGCCCCAATTTCATCCCAGTACTCTTATTAAATTAGATTAGACAGACATTATTTCTCATCTCCGTTTTTCTGTTGAAGACCTTAAGGTGCTCGTGTAGGTCCTTTCAGGGCTGTGTCTTCTGGGTCTTTGTCCTAACAAGGCCTTCAGCTGATTCACACATTGTTGAAGTGAGACATCTCAGGATTTCTATGTCTAAACTAGAAAACTGCCGCAGGACATAATTTTAAAGTCACTTTTAGCATCCTGAGCAAATGCTAGAGTGAAGGTTGAAAAGGCTGACATATTTGGGCCACAAAGTTCAGCTTTGAAATGGCAGTGGTGGAGTGCCTGGAGTTAGTGGCCTGGCAAAGGTAGAATAATAGGGTTTAGTTTACTACCGCTCCTGTTTATACTCCAGAGTACAATATGAATTATTAATATCACCTTAGAATAGAAATGCCAGTAAACAACTCTGGGTTTTTTTAAATAACTGTGGGGAATGCCTGCATTTTAGGGTATAATGGAAGGGTTGCATGTATATTGTTTTTGGTTAGCATGTGCGAACAGGTGCGGCTCTTTTCGACTGCATGGGAATCTACAGCTTCGGGGATAATATTTCAAAAACAAATTTAATGCATTTTGGTGGTCCAGATTTCACCAGCAGCTCGGAGTGCGGTAATCCCTCAGCTGATGCCTGCATAAACTTTACTGAAGCCACATGTCTGCCTCTGAAGATGCAACAACAATGCATAACTCAACACGTCATCTTGTATTCAGTCTTGTTGACCTTTGATGTGGAGGAAAGTAAACCATAATTATACGCTCTTTCCCAGCCTCTCCCAGGACACAGACAATTACAGCCATATGTGGAAGGCACAAGGACAAGAGACAACCTGATTGTGCTAATTACATGTACCTTCACTGCCTAATTCAGCGAGCCAGCGGGAAGCTCAGAGGCTTTTGTTCCTAGCATGTGCATTGATAGGCTTATTTTCTGATCTTAGAGGTTATTCATGCCCCCGTGCACCTATTCAGCCATATGTTAGTGACAAGCAAAGTGTTTTAACCCAGAGCTTTGATGGTGAAGGCTGCTGTGTAAGTGCCGAGGTCTGATTCATGTACAAGAACCTTTGATTATTTTTGCTTATTTTTTGGTTATACCATTAGATCGTGACTGAACCTGTCTTCATGTCTGAGATAATTTTTAAGTAATTAATGAAGTTATTTCTGTTGTCGCAAGTGCTGTTTGATGTTGCCGGTAAGATTTCTGTAAAACCATTTGTGCGTGCTGATCTGTTAATACAATGATTTGTGCTATGTTAAAGTGATGCAGAAATATTTCTAGAGCCAACCTAGTAAGATTGGCATTTAAACTTTTATGGAAAGTTACCAGAGTGCTCATTCAGACAAGAAGCAGACACATTACGATTCTATGAAATTAACGTGAAGGAGTGCATGTCTGGAAGGGGCTTTAGAGGAAAACAGCGGATGAACTGCTTCACAAGATAGGCAAATCAGGTAAAGGATGTACAAACATCAGGGTATTCAGATGTCCAGGTTATTTTTCTGACAAATGCACAGTTGGAAAATTTGCCTCAGAGGATGACATTCACATGCTAACTCTGAAACACAGTTTTCCCTAAACACAAAGTACAGCTGAGGCTGCTAGAAATGACATTAGTTTTCAATTTGTGTGGTTAGAAACCAAAGCACTGGACAACTTAAATTTTGTTACACAATAGCTCTACAAGACATTAACCTCCTTTTGCAGGCAACATGCATGTGTGTACCAATGATCCATACAGTGATTTAGAGATATTTCACCAAAAAACATTGTTAACCTCATGGTAGCTCGAGGAAAACCCAAGGATCTGTCTAAATCAGTAGACTTTATCATCTGTGAGACATGAACGTCTTTGCAACCTTTCAAAATATATCATTGCAACTGCATCACTATCTTTTTAAATGTAATTTAATTAATAAATATGGTCAAAAAATGTTTTCTATCTTTCACATTTGTCAGTTTTCCCAAATAATCCACTTTCTGTAACAATGATCACATCTCTCACGGTGCTTATGCAGCTCTTTGTTTATGATGTCGTACCGTCAGTTGTCCTATGCGGCGACTTTTCCCACCCGGGGTCAAAACAATCACCGCTCCCCCATGATTAAGTATCACGGTCTGGTGTTGTCGCAACTTCAACCAACCACCCCCTCCCCCTTCTTTGTTCTTATGGTGTCATCCATAATTGAAGCCATCAACAGTTTTCTCTTCGACATCTAAACATATGGCGAGGGATTCCTCCCTGTTAACCCTCCTCCTCCTCCTCCCTCTCCGCCTCCCCTACTTACCTCTCTGCTCATATGGCTGACTCTCACCCGCCCCTCTCTACACTCACCGTCTCCCCTCTCGCTCCTCTCAGTCTGTTTCCGCCTGAGTGACCCCACACTAACCCCCCCTCCCCGTGCCATTTGGGGATTATAGTCTAGATGGGCAGCGGTGATTGGCTGTCATGCACAGCGGTGTCCCTCGATTGGAGGGAGATACATATAGGGGTAGTCGTACTGATCCATTTGAAAGGTGAGAGACAGCGACAGGCTGTCAGAGGTGCAGACTATCAACAAGGGAGAGACTGAAAGCGATATCTATACCTGCTGCTTTGTGAGAGTTTGTAGGAGGTAAGGTGTGGGGCTTTATTTCTGAAGATTTATGATGTTTGTGTTGGAGTGTGGCAGTTGAGAGACATTTTCCTAGTTATTTAGTTCTAAAAAACTGATCTCAGCTGGCATTTTCATCTCACATAAGCATCCTGTTTTATTCAATTTAATATGCAGTCTGTAAGTTTACTTGAAAGTTATTTGCTGTGGCTGACTGACAGTGTGGTTCATATGGAAAAGAGATTATTATCTCCTGTGGGTGTGCTCTACATATTTCTCACCGACATTTTCCACACACTCTGGCACGTTTTTCAAAATTCCTTTCATCCTTTTTCTCATCTTCCCACAGATGATTTTTTTTTTTTTTTTTTAATGGAGGGGGAGAGCTCCTATCAGGTTTACTCATCAATCAGTTGCTGCATTTGCCAATGTGTGTATCATCTTAAATGATAGAAGATGTATCTACAAGAGTGATTCAAAGTCAGGGTTAAAGTGTTTGATGACTCAAGCCTACAAGTTAAGACACAGGTCAGGATGCTGCCTCTGGGCTTTCTGTCTGCCTTCAGGAGAAGACGGTTGGTCCAGGTCACATGACACAGGCTCTTGAACAGATGAGAACAGAAAGAAAAGAGGAGGCTGATGAGAAATCCAGACTGTATGATTACTGCTGCACAGAGGGAAGTATGAGAGAAGAGAAAGAGCTCGAAGGAGAAAACAAATACGAGATAAAACAAATGGAAGGAAAAGGCAAAATAGAGATACTGAGAGCGAAAGAGTGAGAAAGAGACAGAAAACTGGTCTGTTTTACAGCTGTCACTGGTTGGATCCCCTCTAATACACAGGCCATATGGGACCCTGGCCTGTCATCCAAAACTAGGTCACATGACCACATAATTAAACAAGGTGCACAGCCTGAAACCCACAACAGAAGAACAGTCTCACTAGCAGAAGTAAAATACAGGCTTGTTAAAGGAATTTGCTGATTTTTTTGTCTCTCTCTGTCTTCCTGTAGCTTTCTATGAAAGAAGCTGGAGATGGCCTCCATGCTCAGATGAATTCCATGATGGGAGCCCTCCAAGAACTCAAGCTCCTCCAGGTCCAGACTGCACTAGAAAACCTCGACATTTCGGGGCGGCCCATTAACCGAGGAATCCCACAACCAATTCCAGTGGCTCCTCCAGAGCCGCCAGCTGCAGCAGCTTCAGGAAAGGATCCCAGATCCTGCTTTAGACAAACCATGTCTGAGGAACTGAGCCTGAGTCCAATGTCAAGTCCGAGGCCGTCTTTGGACAGCAGACACACCTTTAGTCAAGATGATCATAGCCCATCCCGAAACAGAAGCAGCCTGGGAACCTTATCTTCATCGTCACCTTCATCTTCCTCGGCGTCCAGCCTGGAAAGTGAGAGTGACAGCGAAAGAACTGACAGAAGCGTAAAAAGTGAGAATGACCTTGAGTCTATACCCAGGAGGTGGTCTGGGTACACGGCCCCTCAGGTGGATTTCTATGGACCAACAGTGGGAAACCCTCCACCGGAGCCCTACCCTCATCCACAGGCTCCCCGTCGTGCACAGGTGGTGGACCTGCCTGGCATCCTGTATAGTCTGTCCAGAGAGGGTCCTTCCCTGGATAGCGACTACTCCCAGGACAGCACAGACGATGCTAGCGACTGGACTTCTTCGCTCATGAGCCGCAGCCGCAACCGTCAGCCTTTGGTGCTGGGCGACAATGTATTCGCCGACCTCGTAGGCAACTGGCTGGACCTGCCTGAGGTGGAGAGGGAGGAAGGAGAACAAGAGGAAATGAGGAAGAGGAGCGAAGAGAGGATAGTGGTCGGTGGGGCAGACAGACCTGACACCCCGGCTCACCCTCTCCGCCTCAGCCGCTCGCAGGAGATCTGCAGGAAGTTCTCGCTCACCACAAACATCTTCAAGAAGTTCCTGCGCAGCGTCCGGCCTGATAGGGACAAGCTGCTCAAGGAGAGGCCTGGTTGGATGGCTCCCGAGCTGCCAGAGGGTGACCTCTTCAAAAGACCGAAGAAACTGGCTCCCAAAAGTTCAAAAGGCAGCTTCTATCTTCCATTCTGGGCTGGTGGACAGCAGGGCAAAGGCAGGCCATGTCTCCATCTAGCTGAGGCAGAGAGGAACCACCACTTCCACCACCCTCAGCACCACCAACACTTCCCTCAGTTCCACCAGCAGCCGTTTGCAGGGATTTATTTAGACAGGAGGCAGCAAGAGACTGGTCTGGAAAAAATGCAGCCCTTGTTTGACTACAACACAGCTGTTTGGGTCTGACAGTGAGTATCAGGCCAACAGAATGCCAGGGATGCCAGATTGAGTGTGTGACAGGTGCGGTGGGATTGTGGCTGTGATTGTGGGGAGGGAATGAATGAATGAATGAATGAATGAATGAATGAATGAATGAATGAGAGGCTTGGCTACAGTTATCTTCCAAAAATGAACTGATAAACTTCACACCCACCAAGTTTCTCCCGCGACAGAGAGATTATCAGGGCAACAATTTGTCTGACAATCTGAAACCCTAAACCTCGTTTGCTGTGAGTGTATGAGTGAGTTCAGGATTCAGGATTTATGCTGCAAGTTTTGTATTTTTCAAGTTTCTTCACACGTGTGCATGTATGACTGGATTCTCTGGTTGTCTTAAAAGACGGTACTTTGAAATGGAGATCATTCTCAGAATGTCACCATCAATGCAGACTTCTTCCACTTCTATGCTACTGGGCATACTCTCATATATCTTACTTCTTTGCATCTATGAATAGTAACACCAACTGTTGAATTGCATGGTTACCCGTTTTTATCAGTGATGCTACAAACAGCTGTTACCGAACGCACTGCCACTGAACTGACCTAAGCTCCCTTTTGTTTCCAAAAAACTTTGGAAACTCAGGTTTAACTAAACTTGTCTCATTCACCTTTCTCAGGGAATGAATGCCACACAGGAGAAAACCATGAGACACTGCCACATTTAAATGGGTTCCAAATATAGTTTAGGGAAATTTTGCCTGATCTTATTTTGCTTAGAGCTGCAATACGGTGCATGACTAGTTCAAGGATTGCACATTCAAATGTGTCCCTTGTAATCAGCAGTGTTGTGCCCGCTGTCATGTTAGAAACACTCACTTTTCTTCTCTGCCATGTCGACATGGCAAATGTTGAGTCAACTGAAAGTCCTCTTGGGCTGTTGCACAGAGAGGAGGGGGAAAAAAAGATGGCACAGCCAACCATGAGCACTGACTAACTGACAGCCATCTGGTACCCGGACATTATGTAAAGCATGTTTGCCACAAGCTCGAAGAAGATGCAGAACAGGCTAGTTTAATCCAAAAGCTTTCTGAATGAACTGAATGGTGATGATGGTGTTCCATACTGTATATACAACAATAAATACAATACAGGACTGTAACAGTGATGGAGCAAATGAGAGTAGAGGTAAAAACCCATAATTTGTTTTAGCCAGTATGAAGTAAATGTACAGAACATTGTACATAAATGTCATCAACCAAACAGAAGCAGTAAGGAACATTTATTGTAATATCTCATCACATGATTTTCATTACTCTGCACAAATAAATATGTCACAGAAACAGCCCTCAACATAACATGTAAACAATGACACATCAGTTGTACTTAAAACACAAACTGATAAGTTCATCTTTGGCTGACAGTATTTATTTTCTTGTATCATATTAAGCTGTTTCAGTTTGGGGGGTGGTTCCATTTCAAGCATAACAGTTCGAATCAGAGAACAGCTTCCTTCACAAATTCCCTCAGGATTAAAGATGACACTGCCCGCTCTGACTCAAACTCACTTTTTTATAGAGGACCACTGTTATGCAAGGACAATCTGATGAAAAAAAAAACCTAGTTGATTTCACTCTGTTTTAAATGTGATACCAGACCAATCAACTCAGCCAGCAGGGATTATAGGCCTCAGAGGTCTTTTGAGTGTCTTGGCCAGTCAATCCATATGGTGCTGTCTCAGTTTTCAGGTCAATACATACTGCACATTCAGAGGGTCCAACACACATACACATACAC